TGACAACTCAGATATACAAAGGATCATAGAGACTGCTATAAACAACTGTGATCCAGTAAAAAATGACAACCTGGGAAAAATGGATGAATTCTTGGAAAAATACATGCATGCCCTCAAGACTGAACCGGGAAGAATTAGAAAATATAAACAGGACAATCACAAGTAGTGAAGTTGAAAATGTAATTAAAAATATTCCAACAAACAAAAGTCGAGGACCAGACAGCTTCACAGACAATTTGAGCAAACTTTTAGAGAAGAGATAACATCTATCCTTCTCAAACTCTTTCCCCCAAAATCTCAGAATTATTAACACTTATAAATTCATTCTATAAGGCCACTATCACCCTGATACAAAATCAGAAAAGATATCACACAAAAAAAGGAAATTACAGACCAATATCACTGATGAACAAAGACACAAATATCCTTAACAAACCTACTAACAAACAGAAGCCAACAACACATTAAAAGGATCATACATCATGATCAAGTGGTTATCCCAGGGATGCAAGGATTCTTCAGTATATGCTAATCAAACAATGTGATAACCATATTAACAAATTAAAGAATAAAAACCATAACACTGTTGGTGGGAATGCAAACTAGTACAGCCGCTATGGAGAACAGTGTGGAGATTTCTTAAAAAACTGGAAATAGAACTGCCATATGACCCAGCAATCCCACTTCTGGGCATACACACCGAGGAAACCAGATCTGAAAGAGACACGTGCACCCCAATGTTCATCGCAGCACTGTTTATAATAGCCAGGATATGGAAGCAACGTAGATGCCCATCAGCAGACGAATGGATAAGGAAGCTGTGGTACATATACACCATGGAATATTACTCAGCCATTAAAAAGAATTCATTTGAATCAGTTCTAATGAGATGGATGAAACTGGAGCCCATTATACAGAGTGAAGTAAGCCAGAAAGATAAAGAACATTATAGCATACTAACACATATATATGGAATTTAGAAAGATGGTAATGATAACCCTATATGTGAAACAGAAAAAGAGACACAGATGTACAGAACAGACTTCTGGACTCTGTGGGAGAAGGCGAGGGTGGGATGTTTCAAGAGAACAGCATCGAAACATGTATATTATCTATAGTGAAACAGATCACCAGCCCAGGCTGGATGCATGAGACAAGTGCTCAGGCCTGGTGCATTGGGAAGACCCAGAGGGATTGGGTAGAGAGGGAGGTGGGAGGGGGGATCGAGATGGGGAATACATGTAAATCCATGGCTGATTCATGTCAATGTATGACAAAACCCACTACAATATTGTAAAGTAATTAGCCTCCAACTAATAAAAATAAATGAAAAAAAATAAAATAAAATACTTTCTGGAAAGTAAAAAAAAAAAAAACAAACACATATGATCATCTCAATAGAGGCAGAAAAAGCTTCTGACAAAATTCAATAACCATTTATGATAAAAATTCTCCAGAAAACTGGCACAGAGGGAACCTACCTCAACATAATAAAGGCCATATACAACAAACCCACAGTAAACCATCATTCTCAATGGTGAAAATCTGAAAGCACTTCCCTTAAGATCAGGAACAAGACAAGGATGTCCACTCTCACCACTCTTATTCAATATAGTTTTGGAAGTCCTCACTATGGCACTCACAGAAGTTAAAGAAATAAAAGAAATCCAAATTGGAAAAGAAGTAAAAGTGTCAGTGTAGGCAGATGACAGGTTATCACACATAGAAAATTCTAAAGATGCCACTAGAAAAACTACTGGACCTGATCAATGAATTTAGTAAAGTTGCAGGATACAAAATTAATACACAGAAATCTCTTTCATTCCTTTATACTAACAATGAAAGAGCAGAAAGAGAGAAATTAAGAAAACAATCCTGTTTACCATCAAGACAAAAAGAATAAAATATCCAGGAATAAACCTACCTAAGGAAGCAAAAGATCTTTACTCACAAAACTATAAAATACTGATGAAAGAAATCCAAGAGGACACAAACAGATGAAGAAATAGAGCATGTTCTTGGATTGGAAGAATCAATATATAGTGAAAATGACTACACTATGCAAAGCAGTCTACAACCTCAGTGCAATTCCTATCAAATTACTAATGGCATTCTTTACTGAATTAGAACAAAAAAAATGGTATAATTTATATGGAAACACAAAAGACCCTGAAGAGACAAAGCAATCTTGAGACAGAAAAATGGAGCTGGCTCTCTGACTTCAAACTATAATACAAAGCTACAGTCACCAAGACAGCATGATACTGGCACAAAGACAGAAATATAGACCAACAGGACAAGATATAAAGCCGAGATAAGATATGGGCACATTGTCTTTGACAAAGGAGGCAAGAATATACCTTGGAGACATTGAGAATATGGAGAAAAAGACAGCTTCTTCAATAAGTGGTGCTGGGAAAACTGGACAGCTACATGTGAAAGAATGAAATCAGAACACTCCCTAACACCATCCACAAAAATAAACTCAAAATGGATTAAAGACCTAAAGGTAAGACTGGACACTATAAAATTCTTAGAGGAAAACATAGAAAAAAGACTCTTGACATAAGCCACAGCAAGATCTTTTTTGACCCACCTCCTAGAGCAATGAAAATAAAAAGGAAAATGAACAAATGGTATATAATTAAACTTAAAAGCTTTTGTACAGCAAAGGAAATCATAAATAAGACAAAAGGACAACCCTCAGAATGGGATAAAATATTTTCAAACAAAGCAACAGACAAAGGATTAATCTCCAAAATATACAGGCAACTCGTGAAGATCAATATCAAAAAACAAACAACCCAATCAAAAAATGACCTAAATAGACATCTCTTCAAAGACATACAGATGGTCAAGAGGCATATGAAAAGATGCTCAACATCACTATTAGAAAAATGCAAATCAAAACTACAATGAGGTATCATCTCACACCAGTCAGAATGGCCAGCATCAAAAATAGTCTACAAACATGCTGGAAATGTTTGAAAGGGTGGAAATGTTTGAAAGGGTGGAAATGCTGGAAAGGGTGTGGGGGAAAAGGGAACCCTCTTACACTACTGGTGGGAATGTAAATTGATACAACCACTTTGAAGAACAGTACAGAGTTTCATTAAAAAACTAAATATTAAACTACCATATGACTCAGCAATCCCACTACTGAACATATACCTGAGAAAACCATAAATCAAAAAGACACATATACCACACTGTTCACCGCAGTGCTGTTTACAACAGCCAAGACAAGGAAGCAACCTAAATGTCCGTAGACAGATGACTAGATAAAGAAGATGTGGTACATATACACAATGGAATATCACTTGGGCATAAAAAGGAATAAAATTGAGTCATCTGTCGTAATGTGGGTGAACCTAGCCTGACATACAGCATGAAGAAAGTCAAAAAGAGAAAAACAAGTATTATATATTAACACATATGTGGAATCTAGAAACATGATACTGAAGGACCTATTTTCATGGCAGGAACAGAGATGCAGACACAGAGAGTGGACTTGTGGATGGGGTGAGGGGGAAGGAGAGGGACCAGTTGGGAGAGCAGCACTGATATATACGGACTACCATGTGTGAAACAGATGGCTAGTAGGAAGCTGCTCTATAGCACACAGAGTCAGCTTGGTGCTCTGTGATGATATGGGGGGTGCAGTGGGAGTGGGGGAGTGGGAGGCAGTCTCAAGGGGAAGAGGATATATATACACACACGGCTGATTTCCATTGTTTTATGGCAGAAATGCTACTGAAGAAAAGCTTCCATGACCTTGGAAGAAAAGCTATGACCAACCTAGATAGCATATTAAAAAGCAGAGACATTACTTTGGCAACAAAGGCCCATCTAGTCAAAGCTACGGTTTTTCCAGTAGTCATGTATGGATGTCAGAGTTGAACTATAAAGAAAGCTGAGCACCGGAGAATTGATGCTTTTGAACTGTGGTGTTGGAGAAGACTCTTAAGAGTCCCTTGGACTGCAAGGAGATCCAGCCAGTCCATCCTAAAGGAAATCAGTCCTGAGTGTTCACTGGAAGGACTGAGGCTGAAGCTGAAGCTCTAATACTTTGGCCACCTGATGCGAAGTACTGACTCACTGGAAAAGGCCCTGATGCTGGGAAAGATTGAAGGCAGGAAGAGAAGGAGATGGCACAGGATGAGATCGTTGGATGGCATCACCGACTCAATGAATATAAGTTTGAGCAAGCTCCAGGAGTTGGTGATGGACAGGGAAGCCTGGCGTGCTGCAGTCCATGGGGTTGCAAAGAGTTGGACACAACTGAGTGACTGAACTGAAGAGATACATGCTATGGTGATCTTTGATCAATGGTCTCTGATGTTACCACTACTCACTGAAGGCTCATATGATGGCTAGCATTTTTAGCAATAAAGTACTTTTTGCCTAAAGTATGTACATTTTAAAACATACTGCTATTGCACACTTAACAGACTTCAGTATAGTGTAAACAACTTTTATATGCACTGGAAAAACAAAAAATCTGTTAAGTCACTTTACTGCAATCAATATTCACTTTATTACAGTGGTCTGGAACCAAACCCATAATATCTCCTAGGCATGTCTACATATAAATGTACATGAGGATCTTAAAACAAATAATATTATCAACCCAAAGTTTAGTCAACCTTATACTTACACAAAGAAATTCAGACATCCAAAAAAGCACAGTCACATAACTCAGGTGTGAGATGACTAGTCTACTTCAGAATTCAAGCATCCAATAGAGCCACAGTCCTGGACACCAAGGAACATGACAAGGGTCTGGGCAGGTTTAATAACACTCAGGATGTGTGATTAAACACTACTATATGGAAGGACCACAAGGTGTTCAAGAACAGTCCCCTTCCTCTCATACACACCCTTTCCATCGTGCCTTCCTTGGCCTAGTCACGGGCATGAAAATAGGAGGTAGGAGGATGGGAGGCCTGAAGAGATGACGTCTAACGAGAGCACATCAGGGTCTAATGCAACTCAACCACCATCTCCAAACAAGACTAAGTACCACAAAGGACTGACCTGTGACGTCCAGGTGGAAGGAGACCTTCTGGCCCCCGGCCTCGCAGCTGTACTCCCCGACGTCCGCCTTGCCCGCCTGCTGCACCACCAGCCGCCGCCCACGGCCCGTGGCCTCCACACGCACTTTCGAGCTCGAACTCAGCTTCTTGCCGTCCTTGTACCACGTCACCTCCGTCTGGGCCTGGGCCACCTCGCAGCTCAGCGTGGCGCTGGTTCCCGCCACGGCCTGCACGTCACTGCGTGCCGGCTGCTCCTTGGCGAACACCACCGAGGGCTCTGGGGACAGAGGGGGATGCACAGGGTCAGAGACCCCATCTATGTCAAGATGCAACACTGAGGAAAGAAAGATTAAACAGGGAGGCAAGAAGCTTCTCGAGGCTTTACACCAGCTCTGTGACCTAGAGAAACTCCACCACCTTCTCATCAACAAGCAACACCGTTTATTTCTATATTCTACCCCTGATCTGTGGAGGCTGTTTCAATGAGAAGTTGTGAAAGATGTCTCTCATGCACGAGTCCTCTAGGAGAAGACTTGCAGAGTCATGCATTCCTCAACCTTCCTATGGGAGGCCAGGGTCCTTCCCATACGGCTGTTCAGGGCACGTTCTCATCTGCAGTGAATGAGCTCCTGAGGCTCCACCCTAACCACACTCTCAGTGTTGTCAGCTGTTGGCGACCTGATGAGAGGGAAGCTACTCCACTGTGGCTATCTATTGCATGGTCCTAATGAACTTTGCCAACAAAGGTCCGTCTAGTCAAGGCTATGGTTTTTCCAGTGGTCATCTGTGGATGTGAGAGTTGGACTGTGAAGAAAGCTGAGCACCAAAGAATTGATGCTTTGAACTGTGGTGTTGGAGAAGACTCTTGAGAGTCCCTTGGACTGCAAGGAGATCCAACCAGTCCATCCTAAAGGAGATCAGTCCTGGGTGTTCATTGGAAGGACTGATGCTGAAGCTGAAACTCCAATACTTTGGCCACCTGATGCGAAGAGTTGACTCATTGGAAAAGACCTGATTCTGGGAGGGATTGGGGGCAGGAGGAGAAGGGGATGACAGAGGATGAGATGGCTGGATGGCATCACCAACTCGATGGACATGAGTTTGAGTAAACTCTGGGAGTTGGTGATGGACAGGGAGGCCTGACGTGCTGCGACTCATGGGGTCGCAGAGAGTTGGGCGCGACTGAACTGACTGAATGATTAACAAACTGAAGAATATGAGTTTTACAGTTATTCTGTAGTTTACTCTTTGGTGGTTCAAGTTTTGTACAATTTTCAAAATTTGCAATCTGTTTTTTCCAGATTAATTTAGGAGCTCTTTATATAACTAAATGTTATACAGTGTTGATGGTTCAGTTCAGTTCAGTTCAGTTGCTCAGTTGTGTCCAACTCTTTGCGACCCCATGAATCGCAGCACACCAGGTCTCCCTGTCCATCACAAACTCCCGGAGTCCACCCAAACTCATGTCCATTGAGTCGGTGATGCCATCCAACCATCTCATCCTCTGTCGTCCCCTTCTCTTCCTGCCCCCAATCTTTTCCAGCATCAGGGTCTTTTCAAATGAGTCAGCTCTTCGCATCAGGTGGTCAAAGTATTGGAGTTTCAGCTTTAACATCAGTCCTTCCAATGAACACTCAGGACTGATTTCCTTTAGGATGGACTATCTGGATCTCCTTGCAGTCCAAGGAACTCTCAAGAGTCTTCTCCAACACCACAGTTCAAAAGCATCAATTCTTCGGTGCTCAGCTTTCTTCACAGCCCAACTCTCACATTCATGTATGACTACTGGAAAAACCATAGCTTTGACTAGACACACCTTTCTTGGCAAAGTAATGTCTCTGTTTTTTAATATGCTGTCTAGGTTGCTCATAACTTTTCAATGTCTCTGTTTTTTAATATGCTGTCTAGGTTGCTCATAACTTTTCTTCCAAGGAGTAAGTGTTTTTTAATTTCATGGCTGCAGTCACCATCTGCAGTGATTTTGGAGCCCCCCAAGATAAAGTCAGCCACTGTTTCCACTGTTTCCCATCTATTTGCCATGAAGTGATGGGACCGGATGCCATGATCTTAGTTTTCTGAATGTTGAGCTTTAAGCCAACTTTTTGACTCTCCTCTTTAAGAGAACACTCTACACATGGACATTACCAGATGGCCAACTCTGAAATCAGATTGATTATTTTCTTTGTAGCCAAAGATGGAGAAGCTCTATACGGTCAACAATAACAAGACCAGGAGCTGACTGTGGCTCAGATCATGAACTCCTTGTTGCAAAACCACTAGACCATTCAGGTATTACCTAAATCAAATCCCTTAAGATTATACACTGGAAATGAGAAATAGATTTAAGGGACTAGATGAGATAGACAGGCTGCCTGATGAATCATGGACGGAAGTTCGTGACATTGTACAGGAGATAGGGAGCAAGACTCTCCCCAAGAACAAGAAACGCAAAAAAGCAAAATGCCTGCCTGAGGAGGCCTTACAAATAGTTGTGAAAAGAAGAGAAGTGGAAAGCAAAGGCGAAAAGGAAAAATATTCCCATTTGAATGCAGAGTTCCAAAGAGTAGCAAGGAGAGATAAGAAAGCCTTTCTCAGCAATCAATGCAAAGAAGTAGAGAAAAACAATAGAATGGGAAAGACTAGAGAACTCTTCAAGAAAATTAGAGAAATCAAAGAAACATTTCATACAGATGGGCTCAAAAAAGAACAGAAATGGTATGGACCTAACAGAAGCAGAAGATATTAAGAAGAGGTGGCAAGAATACACAGAAGAACTGTACCAAAAAAGATCTTCACAACCCAGATAATCATGATGGTGTGATCACTTACCTAGAGCCAGACATCCTGGAATGTGAAGTCTGCTGGGCCTTAGGAAGCATCACTACGAACAAAGCAGATGGAATTCCTGTTGAGCTATTTCAAATCCTAAAAGATGCTGTGAAAGTGCTGCACTCAATATGCCAGCAAATTTGGAAAGCTCAGCAGTGGCCACAGGACTGGAAAACAGTTCTCATTCCAATCCCTAAGAAAGGCAATGCCAAAGAATGCTCAAACTACTGCACAACTGCACTCATCTCACACACTAGTAAAGTAATACTCAAAATTGTCCAAGCCAGGCTTCAGCAATACATGAACTGTGAACTTCCAGATGTTCAAGCTGGTTTTAGAAAAGGCAGAGGAACCAGAAATTAAATTGCCAACATCTGCTGGATCATTGAAAAAGCAAGAGAGTTCCAGAAAAATATCTATTTCTGCTTTATTGACTACGCCAAAGCCTTTGACTGTGTGGATCACAATAAACTGTGGAAAATTCTGAAAGAGATGGGAATACTAGACCACCTGACTAGCCTCTTGAGAAACCTGTATGCAGGTCAGGAAGCAACAGTTAGAACTGGATATGGAAATCTAGGGTGAAACAGTTCACCAGCCCAGGTTGGGTGCATGAGACAAGTGCTCGGGCCTGGTGCACTGGGAAGACCCAGAGGGATTGGGTGGAGAGGGAGGTGGGAGGGGGGACCGGGATGGGGAATACATGTAAAAAAAAAAAAAAAAAAAAGATACACTATGGTTGTGATAAAAATAAATAAATAAATAAATAATAAAAAAATAAAAAAAATAAAAAAAAAAAGAACTGGATATGGAACAACAGACTGAATTCCAAATAGGAAAAGGAGTATGTCAAGGCTGTATATTGTCTCCCTGCTTATTTACCTAATATGCAGAGTACATCATGAGAAACTCTGGGCTGGAGGAAGCACAAGCTGGAATCAAGATTGCCAGGAGAAATATCAATAACCTCAGATATGCAAATGACACCAACCCTTATGGCAGAAAGTGAAGAAGAACTAAAGAGTCTCTTGATGAAAGTGAAAGAGGAGAGTGAAAAAGTGTTGATGGTTACATGTGTTTATCTATCCTCCCACTTTTGTGCTATGTTTTTTCATTTTTTAAATAATTTTTCTGGTGAGATTAAGTTATTTAACTAAGGCAAGTATATCCATTTGTCCTTTGTGGTTTCTGCATTTATGTTCTGTTTAAAAATCTTTCATTATCCCGTGGTCATTAAATAATCTTTATTATCATATAAAAGCTTGTTTTACCTTTCACACAGAGGTCTCTAACCTGCCTGGAGTTGGTTCTTTGTGTGGTAGGAGGTAGATTCCAATGTTATTTTATTTGTCTATGGTTAATGGCCTTACCATCAATGATGAAAAGATCCTCCTTTCTCTACACTTCAGTGTGAGCTCACCATTCCATTCCTTTGGGCTATTTATCTCTGCATTGAGACCCACTTGTCTAAATTGCTGTAATGTTTTTTTGTTGTTGTTTCAAGTCGTGATTAGGTTGGAGCAAATGTCCTCATTTTGTTAAGACTCACTTGGTTCTCTTTGGCCATTGCAATCAACTTGTCAATATTCTAACACCCAAAAGAACTGTGACCTGCCATTTAATGGGAAGTGAACGTCTCTGAGTCTTCCATAGATTTGTATACGTTAATTTACATCTTGGAATTAGTAATATGACCCATATACTCTTATTGTCATTCTTTTAAAATTTCATTTTCCAGTTGTTTGTTTCTGGTATATAGATATAGGCTTGTTTTCTGAATATTGTTTTTGTATGCAGTAATGTTTACCAATTCTCTTACTAACTGTAGTAATCAATGTTTCTAGATTTTCTAAATTGCTAATCATATCAGCTACAGGTTTCATTTTTATCTTTCTAAGTTTTGATCTTTTATTTCCCTCCTTAGTGTGTTATGAATGCAGCATCAAAGTGGTGAAAACTGGCTTCCTTATCTTGTTCCCTACGGCAAAGGCAATGCCTTCAAGATTTCACTTTATATGCGAGGATAACCAGGTTTCCTCTATACTGCCAATTATTAAATAAAAGAAGAATCCTTACACTTTGGTAAGAATTTTATGGCAAGAATTAATGCTCAATTTTATCAAGTATTTCTCTTGGATATATGTAGCTATATTTTATTGTGTATTTTTATTCTCCATTTATTGGGGAAATCATATCATTTTTCTTTCGTTGACATCAAGCCTTCCATCAAATTTTCTACTGATTCTTGTTTTATTTTTTTATTTGAAATCTCCTGATTTTTAAAAATTTTTTATTTATTTACTTTTTTACTTTTTTATTTTTTTTCCATTTATTTTTCTTAGTTGGAGGCTAATTACTTTACAATATTGTAGTGGTTTTTGTCATACACTGACATGAGTCAGCCAGGGATTTACATGTATTCCCCATCCCGATCCCTCCTCCCACCTCCCTCTCCACCCGATCCCTCTGAGTCTTCCCAGTGCACCAGGCCAGAGCACTTGTCTCATGCATCAAGCCTGGGCTGGTGATCTGTTTCACCCTAGATAATATACATGTTTCGATGCTGTTCTCTCGGATTCTTGTTTTAAACCAACCTTGCGCTCCTGGAATATGACCGTTGCTGTAGTGTATTTTCCTCTTAATAAACTGCTGAATTCAGTTTACTATTATTTTGTGGAAGATATTAGCCTTAATATCATCAACAGATTAACTGTGTTACTTCTTCATAATTACCTTGTCAGATTTTGGTATCAATGATATGTTCTCTATGTAAAATAATTAGAGAATGCATTCCATTTTTCAATACTACAGAAGAATCTCTGTGAACGTGGAATAATTTCTTACCAGAATACTCCGTACAATTTAACAATAGAGCAAGTGGGCTTAGATATTCTGCTGTGAGAAGATTGTTTATTATGATTCAATTTATTTAAAATATTGGGGCCTTTACAACTTGCTTGTTTTCCACTTTGTGAGTTTTGACATAGTTTTCTAGGAACTGGTCAATTTGCATTCTTCTCTATTTTCATGAATTTTGTACACACATTACAACAAAACATGGAGTAGATTTTGCTACATCTGTGTTCAGGGAATTTACTCATCCATGTGAAAATTGCTATCCCAGAATATCTAAAGATTTATATCTATCCCAGAATATCCAAAGATTTATAAGCCAAAATCCTGCCATGAAATAATTCCAAGAAGTACTGTGTGGCCAAAATTTTCTCTTATTCTAGTTCAGTGAATTCTTGCTAACAGGAACTCTCAAGTGTTCTGGGTAAGAATCTGCCAGGAAAACCCCAGGGGAAAGATATCTCGTCTACTTCAGCCCTATAGCTCAGGTAGAGCCTGAGTAATGGACACCCAGGACCACCAATGGAGTCTGAACACTTATGAAAATGTGACTGAGCATTATTACATGGAAAACAATGCATGGTATAAAAGAACTGCCTCTCTCCCTCCAGAATACACTCACTCACCCATGCTTTCTTGGCTCAACATTGGCAATAAAGATGAAAGAATACAGGATAAAAGAATTCAGGAAATCAATTAAAAAAAAAAGAGCACCAGAATCTCTTGGCTATACGGGTGTCCTATCCTCATTGCAAAATATGATAATTTAGTATCCCAAGAAAACTCACTTATATAGATGGAAAAATACATTCAGGTCCTAGGAAAAACAGAGTATTACCTGATGTCAATCTTGCCAAACTGATGTACAGACAGCTACATCCCAAAGGCCTTAACTCCATACATACTTTCAAACTCGACTCAGCTTCTTCCCATCCTTAGACCACCCACTCAAACCAGTTATGCACCACCTCACATTTCAGCAGGAAAAAGCACCACTTTGACCCATACCACTCTGCATGCCAGCTGCTACTTAAACACCACTGAGGACTACAGCAAAAGGACTGATACACAGGATGAAAGACACCATATGACAGAAACAGAAAAGGAACACAAGGCCTGGGTGGTGACAGGGAAGGAGAACTTCTACAGGCTTTCTACCAGCCCTCTGTGCTGCAAAACTCCCTCTGCCTATCTCAGTAACAAGGAGCATTCTCCCACTGATCTCCTGTATCTAGGGAAATGGAGGGAAGACCTCCCAGAAACCTCAAGTTTGATCATTCAAACTTTACTCCTGAGAGAATGCGAAAGAAGATTGTCAGGGATACATCACACTGAAACAGCTGACCAAGTGAGAACTCGCATAAGGTGCCTGATGAGGATGTGTGCTGGCTCTCCAGAAAAATGCATGGTGGGAGGAAAGTCACACATCCCCAGGCCTACCTCAGCCCCCCGGCATCAGGGAGAGCCAGGGTCCCGACACCAGGAAAAACAGGAAGGTTCTGGGCAGGTGCTAACACACTGTGACTGAGCCCCACTGCCTAGCAACAGGGGGACAGAAACAACCTTTCTTCTTTCCATATGCACTCTCCCCATCCATCCTCTTCCAGGTCAAAATGGGCCTCCAATGGGATGGAGAAGACAGGGAGACTGAAGAGATGAAGGTTCAAGGCACTCATGTCTAAAAGCCAGTCCCCTCATCACCTGCACAAAGGCTAGCTCAGCGTCCCCCTCGAGGACTGACCTGTGACGTCCAAGTGGAAGGAGACCTTCTGGCCCCCGGCCTCGCAGCTGTACTCCCCGGCGTCCGCCTTGCCCGCCTGCTGCACCACCAGCCGCCGCCCACGGCCCGTGGCCTCCACACGCACTTTCGAGCTCGAACTCAGCTTCTTGCCGTCCTTGTACCACGTCACCTCCGTCTGGGCCTGGGCCACCTCGCAGCTCAGCGTGGCGCTGGTTCCCGCCACGGCCTGCACGTCACTGCGTGCCGGCTGCTCCTTGGCAAACACCACCGAGGGCTCTGGGGACACAGAGGGGGATGCACAGGGTCAGAGACCCCAGCTCAGTCAGGACAGCAGCCCCGGGCAGAGAAGACCTGGATGGGGAGGTGGGAGGGTCCAGGCGGGGGTAGTGAAGCTGGAGACTTTTCCAGGCTCTGCACCAGCCCTGTGCCCTGCAGATGTCCTTCAGACATTCTCAGGAACAAGTGACACAGTCTATGCATTTTCCCACAGGTCCACCTGTATGAGCTGGTCCCACACGGGAAGGTTCGTTGGAGAAGACATCTCCCCGTTTATGACATCTGCAGGATAACAAGGCAAGTATCCCCCAACCTCCCTACATGATGCCCCAGTCTTCTCCATAGGCTTATGCAGGGAACTTTCACCTGCAGTCCATGGAGATGTCTGAGGCTCGGCACCCTTGCCTACTCTCAGTATTGTCAACTGGTAGCAATATGGGAGGAGTACTTCCACCTCCCTGTGACTTTCTTTGTCATCATCTGAGGAATGAAGAAGTACCTTCCCCCTTAGAACTGGGTTCCCCATTACTGTTTTCTTCTTCTTAGTGAAACCATTCAAATCTTTTTTCCACTTACTAATAGTAGGCTCTCTGTTCTCAAGATTCACCTCTGGCCACTCTTTATCCATTTAAATACCAGAGAATGACACATAGGTAGGTTTAAGGATGTTCCCAACTTTGTGACTTGCATTTTCACTCTCTGATTGAGTCCTCTGTTAAATCCAACTTTTTCCTTCCAATAGTGTCAAATGTCCATTTCAAAGCCCCTTGAGTTTGGAGCATTTGTGTTTGTACTTAAGAAATCCTTCCTTACCTTAAGTCTTTAAAGAAGTCATGTTATCATCCAAGGGAATTTTGGGTTTTACCATTCACACTGAGGTTCTAACCCACCCTGAGTTGACTTTTGTATGTGGTGTGAACTGCTGGTACAATTTAAGTTTTCAGAATGGTCAAACAGTCCAAGTACCATTTATGAAGACAGCACTCTCCTCAACTTCTCCAATAGACACCACAGTATCAAGCAGAAGGTGAGGGTCGGTAAATGGGTGGTGCAAAAATCCATTTATGTAAGGAACTATTTCTGAGCTCACTGTTCTGCCCCTCTGACGTGGTAACTATCCCTGCACTGGGATCCTCTTATCTTCAAAATTGTAGCTTTGTGACATCAGGTCCCAGTGAATGCTCCCACCATGCTTTCCTTCAAGGAAACAGTGTATTGATGGCACCGGGCCTTTGGAATCTGCCTGTTATTCTTCCATCAGACCACCCAAACAGAAATCTGGTTTCAATTCTGATTGCTAATAAACATCTTTGATTTTTTTTCCCCTCGGATTCCTATCTCTTTATTCCAAATTCTTACTGTCTCTCAAGAATCTTGAATGATTTCCCCACACACAGCCACTTAGCAACTTTTATCAGACCTGGAATTAGAAACATAATGTAATTGTGCTAGTCTAACTCTAACATAAAATTTCATTTTCCAAGTATTCTTTGCCAAGACATAGGCAAAGAAATGCTTTCTGTATAATTACTTTTTTACACAATAATTTTCTACTCAAGAATCTTATACATTCTAATAATTTATCTTTGGGATTGTCTGAGTTGATAGTATATCGTTATGCCTCCCAGGGAAGTTGGTGGGGCCCTGGTATAGGACAGTTCAGTTAGAGAGCAAAATAAAAAGATGTTTAAAGCTAAGGTAAGACTGCCAGAAGTTAGCACTTAGTTAGTTGGATGTGGGAAGAAGTTAAAAATGACTCCTAGGTTCCTGATCTACCAAGGACAGGGTGTGGAATGAGAATGAAGGAGGGCCTTAAGCCAGCAAATGATGCCAAGAAAAAATATTCAGGTAGGTAGAAAGAAATCCAACAGGACATGGGTTGTAAAAGCCAATGAAAGGCTTATAACCAGAGCTTGAACATGTAATCTGACAGCAGGTTATAGTGCAGTAGAAAGGTCGTGGGTAAGTCTGGGCATGCACAATACAGCCCACGTTAGGATCCTTCTTGTACAAGACAAGATGCTTTGTTTACAGTCAGCAACTCACCTCCAAAAACCGTCCTGAATCATATGTTGTGAGAAACAACAACGGTTTTCAGAGCAGATGTCCTAAGCAATATTTAGGAAGAAAAAAATTTCCTAAAACACATACTGTCTTCAGAGGTGCAGTTCTAAGCACAACAAACACAAATTTCAAGATGTCATAAGGGGTAGTTTGGCCTGTTAGAGGCTCCTGAATCACTTCATTCCAGATTGGGGCCTTTCACTTATTCAGTCCAACCAGAAGGTTCACTGATTCTGGTTCTCATTAGGGTTGTTGTAAGTGTTTAGTTAATTAGTTTTGGGCAAATGGAGGGATTACACTTTTTCACTCTCTTGTTTATGTATGTGCAATCACTTACTGTTAAGCTTTCTACCTATTAACATGCTAACGTTAAAAACAATGTGCAATTCTGGACTATGACTTTCATCACTAATCTCTAACAACAGATACACTGCTGAACTCATTTTGCTAACATTTGATTTATGATTTTGGCCTTGATACTCAGAGAAGATTGGTCTGGAATTTCATTCTCCCTGCATTTCTACTGCAATTCTGGTACTGATGTTATGTTCTGTATGTGAGGAGAGTTATGGAATGTATCTCATTCTTCTCTCTCTAGGACTATCTCCATGAGTGTGCAATAGCTGTTTCCAGGTATTTTACATCATGTACTAGAGAACTACAAGTGTGGAGAAGACTTTTCATTATTGCTCATATTGATGACACAATTGATACAATCGTTAACTTCTATATTCTTTTTTCCACTTTCATGTAGTTTAGAAGCAAAAGGCAAAGGAGAAAAGGAAAGGATATACCTGTTGTACCCACTGGAATGCAGCTTTCCAGAGAATAGCAAAGAGAGGTAAGAAAGCATTCCTAAGTGAACAATGCAAAGAAAAAGAGGAAAACAATAGAATGGGAAAGACTAGAGATCTCTTCAAGAAAATTAGAGATACCAAGGGAACATTTCATGCAAAGATGGGCACAATAAAGGACAGAAATGGTATGGACCTAACAGAAGCAAAAGATATTAAGAATTGGCAGCAATACACAGAAGAACTATACAAAAAAAGTCTTAATGACCTGCACAACCCAACAGTGTGATCATTCACCTAGAGTCAGATATCTTGGAGTGTGAAGTCAAGTGGGCCTTAAGAAGCATAGAACTACTAATAAAGCTAGTAGAGGTGATGGAATTCCAGCTGAGTTACTTCAAATCTCAAAAGATGATGCTGTGAAAGTGCTGCATTCAATATGCTAGCAAATTTGGAAAACTCAGCCAAGGCCACAGGACTGGAAAAGGTCAGTTTTCATTTCAATTCCAAAGAAGGGCAATGCCAAAGAAAGTTCAAACTACCACACATTTGCACTCATTTCAAATGCTAGCAAGGTAATACTCAAAATCCTTCAAGCTAGGCTCCAACAGTACGTGAACTGAAAACTTTCAGAGGTACAAGCTGGATTTAGAAAAGGCAGAGGAACCAAAGTGCCAACATCCGTTGGATCATAGAAAATGCAAGGGAATTCCAGAAAAAGTTCTACTGCTTCACTGACTATACTAAAGCCTTTGACTGTGTGGATTGCAATAAACTGTGGAAAACTCTCAAAGAGATGGTAATACCAGACCACCTTGCCTGCCTTCTGCGAAACCTGTATGCAGGTCAGGAAGCAACAGTTAGAACGAGACAAGGAACAGTGTACTGGTTCCAAACTGGAAAAGCAGTATATCAAGGCTGTATATTGTCACCCTGTTTATTTAACATAAATAAATAAACACCCTGTTTATTTTATATGCAGAGTACATCATGCGAAATGCCGGGCTGGATGAAGCTCAAGCTGGAATTAAGATCGCAGGGAGAAATATCAATAACCTCAGATATGCATATGACTACACCCTAAAGGCAGAAAGTGAACAGCAACTAAAGAGCTTCTTGATTAAGGTGAAAGAGAAGAGTGAAAAAGCTGGCTTAAAACTCAACATTTAAAAAATTAAGATCATGGCATCCGGTCCCATCAGTTCACGGCAAATAGATCGGGGGAAAAAATGGAAACAGTGACAGACTTGATTTTCTTGGACTCCAAAATCACTGCAGACAGTGACTGCAGCCATGAAACTTTTTAAAAGATGCTTGCTCCTTGAAAGAAAAGCTATGACAAATGTAGACAGCATATCGGCATATTTAAAAGCAGACATCACTTTGCCAACAAAGTTCAGTCTAGTCAAAGCTATGGCTTTTCCAGAAGTCATGTATGGATGTGAGAGTTGTACCATAAAGAAAGCTAAGCACCAAACAACTGATGCTTTTGAACTGTGGTGCTGGATAAGACTCTTGAGAGCCCCTTGGCAGCAAGGAGATTAAACCAGTCAATCCTAAAAGAACTCAACTCTGAATATTCATTGGGAGGACTGATGCTGAAACTGAAGCTCCAATACTTTGGCCACCTGATGTGAAATACTGACTCATTGGAAAACACCCTGCTGCTGGGAAAGATTGAGGGCGGGAGGAGAAGGGGTCAACAGATAATGAGATGGTTGGATGACTCAATGGCCATCAATTTGAGCAAACTCCAGGAGACAGTGCAAGACAAGAAAGTCTGGGGTACTGCAGTCCATGGGGTCTCAAAGAGTTGGACATGACTGAACAACAACTATTTAGCCACGTTTCCCAACTTTTCTATGATTTTATCTTAGAATACACTCTAACATTCTCAAAAACAAAAAACATTCCAGAAAGACGCATGCCGAGATCTGGGATGTCTGTACACATCCACAAATCATTGTACATTATTAGTACTGTCAAAAACTGTTAGGTGTTGGCACCTAGAAGTCAAGGTAGGATGGCAGCCCAACTCTATTCAGCATGAAGTCTTCATTGCCAGAAGAAGAATAATCTGATTTCTTAGACTGTCCTGTGTTTCAGGCACAAGGCAGAGACTCATTCAGCACTAGGAGAATGCAATGAAATAAAGACTGCTTTGCGAGGCAGAGGCTAGTAGGACAGTAACTCCTCGTTAGCAAAGCCTAGTGATGTGGCAGAAGTGACTTTTTCCTTTCAATTCCTAAATTCCCCAGCATCACACCAAGGGGAATACAACCTGCAACATCCAACCTGTTTGAAGACAAAGGCAAAATAATGTTTTGCAATCCAAGATCACCCTAAATGGCACATGTGACGCTCTACCAATCATCCTTTCTTTCTTCCTTTTGCCAGGACCTGACAACATAACATGGGCCTATTCTGGCTACCTACAGACAACCAGAGAAGGAACAGGAGGGGAGGGCTTCCCAGAAACCTCAAATTGCATCATCCAAACTTCATTCCTAAGAGAATTCCAAGTAGCACTGTGTGGTCAATATGTCTCCTAAACAGGGATCCATCAAATCCCAGTTCTGGCCAGCCGAGACCAGCAAGAGGTATTGGATGGAGGCCTATGGAGGCCTATGCTAGCTCTCAGGAAAGAGATAATGGGAGGAAGGTCAGTTATTCCCAGGCCTACCTCAGCCCCCGAGCATCAGGGAGAAGCAGGGTCTCTACACCAGAAACAACAGGCAGATTATGAGCAGGTGCTAAGACAGTGTGACTGAGCCTCACTGCCTGAAAACGCATGGACCAAAACGCCCCTCTTCTCTCCATGGACACCCTCCTCCGGGCCAAAATGGGTACCAAGGTGGGACATGGACGACTGGAAGGCATGAAGAGATGAAGGATCCAGGCAAGTGCAGACATAGTCTGGTGAGGCTGGAAGCCAGGCCCCTCATCACCTGCACACAGGCTAGCCCAGCATCCTCCTCCAGGACTGACCTGTGACGTCCAGGTGGAAGGAGACCTTCTGGCCCCCGGCCTCGCAGCTGTACTCCCCGGCGTCCGCCTTGCCCGCCTGCTGCACCACCAGCTGCCGCCCACGGCCCGTGGCCTCCACACGCACTTTCGAGCTCGAACTCAGCTTCTTGCCGTCCTTGTACCACGTCACCTCCGTCTGGGCCTGGGCCACCTCGCAGCTCAGCGTGGCGCTGGTTCCCGCCACGGCCTGCACGTCACTGCGTGCCGGCTGCTCCTTGGCGAACACCACCGAGGGCTCTGGGGACACAGAGGGGGATGCACAGGGTCAGAGACCCCAGCTCAGTCAGGACGGCAGCCCCGGGCAAAGAATGGGGATGAGGGGTCGGGAGTAGGAGGAGGGGAAATGGGGCTGGAGATTTCTCAAGACTGCACCAGTCTTGTGCCCTGCAGCGATGCCCCTGCCTCTCTCGGCAGCAAGTCACACAATTTACGCATTCTCCCACAGGTCCCTGGGAGCTGGTCCATGGTGCAGGACAAATGGAACAGACTTGCCCCCTGCTCATGACAACTGCCAGGTCTCCAGGAAAATGCTCCCTATCCTTCCTCAGTGGTGCCCCAGTCTTCTCCATACTGCTTAAGAGCAGGGAGCTTTTCACCTGTAGTCTATGAAGACGGCTGAGGCTCGGTGCCCTTGTTCGCGCTCAGGATTGTCAGCTGACGGCAATCTGGGGGAGCGCTTGCACCTCCCTGTGGCTTTCCTCATCACTGTCTGAGGAATGAAGAAACGGAGCCCTTTCCCTTTAGGACTGGGCTCGCCATTACTGTTCTCTTCGTCCTGTGACACTAGTCAAATCTTTTGCCCACTTATCAACAGTAGGCTCAACCTTTTGTTGATTCAACCCTGGCCACTCTTCAAACATTTAAGTACTAGAGAATGATAAACAGGCAGGTTTGAAGGACATTCCCAGCTGGGTGACTGCCACTTTCACCCTCAGATCCAGTCCTCTGACAATCCAAACTTTCTCCCTCCAATAGTGTCACAAGGCCCATTTCTGCTCTTTGAGTGTAGAGCATTTGTGTTCTATTCAAGAAATATTCCCTTACCTTAAGTTCCTAAAGAAACCACTTTCTCATCTGAGGTTTTTTATACCCTGAGGTTTCTAATCCAACATGAGTTGACTTTTGTGTGTGGTGTGAACTGCTAGGACATTTTAAGTTTTCCATGTGGTTCACTGGTTCAGCAACTATTTTTGACTACAGCATCCTTCCTCCACTTCTCAAATAGACAACACAATAACAAACGGAAGATAAAGAGGATCTGTGAAGATGGTGGGTGCAGGAACCCTCTTATGCAAGAACTGTTTCTGAGCTCACTATCCTGTTCCTCTGACGTGACAACTATCCTGCACTGGGATCCCATTATCTTGAAAAAACTGTAGCCTTACCATAATTCCTGAAATAATTTCTGCATGTTGATTTTTTTTTTTTACACACTAATTTTACTCAAGAATCGGATGCAATCTAATCATTTATCTCTGGGATTGTCTGAGTTGACCATTCCATCATCAGCAAATTCCACCTTTAGTTTTCCAGTGATTTTATTCTCCTCTTTACTCAACTCAGAGGTTATAGTTGGTCTGAGTGCCACCCCTCATGTCAAAGATCTCCTGGTACTCCTTAAGTGGGATGCTGTTGTTGGGCGTGTTCTTGTTTTTGCAGGAGTGTGATAACATTAAAAAGAACACTTTAATATAGTTTGCTAAGAATTTTATGGCACAAACTGATGCTCAATATTATCAAACATTTTGTTCCACCTTCAAGTTCAATCAACTATTTGATTCTGTACTCATGGAGACGATCACATCTTTCTGAATTCAATCCAAAGTCAAGCTTTCTACCTATCAACAATGCCAACGCTGACACAATGTGCAATCCTGAACTATGACTTTCACCACACATCTCTACCCGTGGATACACTGCTGAGTTCTTTTTATTAACATTTAATATGTGATTTTGACCTTGACACTCACAGTAGATTTTCTGGAATTTCATTCTCCCTGTCTTTCTAGTGTGATTTTGGCATCGATGTTATATTCTGGACATGAAGGGGTTATGGAGGATATCTCATTCTTCTCTCTCTAGGACCATCTTCATAAGCATGCGATAACAATTTTCCAAATATTTTGCATGCCTCACTAGAAAACTACAGGGCTGAGAAGATTTTTCACTACTGGTCCTACTGATTCACAAGTCACAAACTCTTTAAATTTACTCTGTATTTGTGTGTCCGATTATCACATAATCTCCTAGGATTTAGCCATATATCATAATTTTTCAAAGGTTTTGCCATAAAATACTTTCTAATGTGCTCCCAAAAACCACATTCTAAGAGACCCATGGTGGGAATCTGGGGTGTATACACACCCACACATCCTGCTACACTGGCATGGTCTTAAACTCTCACATGCTGTCACCTAGAAGTCAATGTGGCATGGTAGCCTCCCCTACTCAGCATGAAGACTCTCTTCCCAGGAAAGCATGACCTGATTTCTTAGACTGCCTGACATTTCAGCCACGAGAAAGAGACACTCGATGACTACCAGCAAAATGCAAGAAAATAGAGGCTGCTTTGCCAGTCAGAGGCTGCTAGGACAGTAACTGCTTATTAGCAATACCTACTGATGTGGCAGAAGAGATTTTGTCCTTTCCATTCCTAAATTCATCAAATAACGCCAAGTGGAATACTGACCTGCAACATACAAACTTGTTCGAAGACAAACACAAAATCATACTTGATCTAAGAAGATTACCCTAAATAGCACAGGTGACTATCAATCATCCTTTCTTTCCTCCCTTTGTAAAGCGTGCATGCATGCTAAGTCGCTTCAGTGGTGTCCAACTCTCTGCGACCCTTTGGACTGTAGCCCGCCAGGCTCCTCTGTCCATGGGATTCTCCAGGCAAGAATACTGGAGTGAGTTACCACGCCCTCCTCCACGGGATCTTCCCAACCCAGGGACCAAACCCACATCTCCTGCGGCTCCTACATTGCAGGCAGATTCTTTACTGCTGAGTCACCAGCGAAGCCCCACTTTGTAAGGACCTGACAACAAAACATGGGGTTTTTTTCTTGCAACGTACAGCCTACTGGAGCTTCTATATCCAGAGAACGGAAGGAGTGGCATCCAAGAAACCTCAAATTCAATCATCTGAAGTTCACTCCTGCAAGAATTCCAAGTAGGATTGTGTGGCCAGTATTTCCCCTAATCTGGAATGCATCAAATTGAAACACCGAAGCACTTGGATGAGGTACCAGATGAGGGCATGTGCTAGCTCTCAGGAAAGACAGATGATGGGAGAAAAGTCACATATTCCCAGGTCTACCTCTGCTCCCAAGCATCAGGGAGAGTCAGGGTCCCAATACCAAGAATACAAGGAAGGTTCTGGGCAGGTACTAAGACAGTGTGACTGAGTCTCACTGCCTCCAAAGAGGTGGACAAAAATGGCCCTTCTTCACTGAAGGTGCATCCTCCCCATCCACCCTTCCTCAGGGCCAAGATGATATGAAGATGAGACATGGAGATGTGAAGAAATAAAGGCTACAGGCGAGTACACACATCTGTTGAGACCAAAAGCCAATCCCTTCATCCTCTGCACACAGGCTAGCTCAGCGTCCTCCTGAGGACTGACAGGACTGACCTGTGACGTCCAGGTGGAAGGAGACCTTCTGGCCCCCGGCCTCGCAGCTGTACTCCCCGGCGTCCGCCTTGCCCGCCTGCTGCACCACCAGCTTCCGGGTGCAGCCCGTGGCCTCCACATGCACTTTCGAGCTCGAACTCAGCTTCTTGCCGTCCTTGTACCACGTCACCTCCGTCTGGGCCTGGGCCACCTCGCAGCTCAGCGTGGCGCTGGTTCCCGCCACGGCCTGCACGTCACTGCGAGCCGGCTGCTCCTTGGCGAACACCACCGAGGGCTCTGGGGACACAGAGGGGGATGCACAGGGTCAGAGACCCCAGCTCAGTCAGGACGGCAGCCCCGGGCAGAGAAGGCGGGGGAGCCGAGGAGGAGGTCTGTACAGTAGCAGGGGAGTTGAAAGTGTTCTGGACTCTGCACCAGCCCTGTGCTCTGCAGAGGTCCCCTGCGTTCTCAGCAACAGTCCCACACTTATGCATTCTCCTCTGAGTCCATGGGAGCTGGTCCAGCTGGCAGGGTGGCCGCTGGAAAAGACGTCTCCCGTGCTCACGGCATCTGCAGGGTCACAAGGCATGTGTCCCCGAACCTTGCTAGATGGTGCCCTAGTTGGCTCCATGTGTATATGCAGGAACTTTTCACCTGCGGTCCGTGGAGAGGGCTGAGGCTCAGTGCCCTTCCAACCGTTAACTACTGTCAGCTGGCGGCAATCTTGGGGGGCTGCCTACCCCCCTTCCCCTGGCTTTCTTTGTCACTGAGGAATAAAGAAGCTGAGTACCTTTCCTCTTAGCACTGGGTTCACCATTCCTACTTTCTTCTTCACAGTGGCACAATTCAAATCTTCTACCCATCTACAAACAGGAGGCTCTTTTTTCATTCAACTCTGGCCACTCTTTATACACTTACATACCAGAGAATGACTCATATGTAGGATTTAAGGGTATTTCCAACTGTGTGACTGGCATTTTCACTCTCAGATCCAGTCCTCTGATAAATCAAAGATTTTCCTTCCAATAGTTTCACAATGTCCATTTCAGCCCTTTTGGGCATAGATCATTTGTGTTCCATTTAAGAAATTTCTCCTTATGTTGTCTTTAAAGAAACCACATTACCATCTGAGGGGTTTTTTGGGTTTTGCCTTTTACCCTGAGTTTTCTAACCCACTCTGAGCTGACTTTTGTGTGTGGTGTGAATTGCTGGCACAATTTAATTTTTCCGTGTGGTTCAGTGGTCCAACACCATTTATTAGACAACATCCTTCCTTGAGTTCTCCCATAGACAACACAGTAACAATGGAAAGGTGTAGGGGGATGGAGGGACGGGTGGTGCAGGAAGCCATTTATGCAAGGAACTGTTTCTGAGCTCACCATTCGGTTACTCTGATGTGGAAACAATCACTGCACAGGGATCCCCTTATCTCGAACACTAAAGCTTTAGGGTAATTCCTGATACATGAGAACCGGTCAGGCTGGTCCCCCATGGAGCAGGGATCACGCCCCCACACACATGTGGCCTTGCAGCTGTTTGCAGAGCTGGCATGCCTGGGTGTGTGTCTGCTTCTGCAGCCAAGAGGGTCCTGAGCAGGAGCCTGCTTTTGTAGATAGTTCTGTGGTTTCAGAGGGCTTCCAGGTGGTACTAGTGGTAAAGAGTCCACCTGCCAATGCATGAGACATAAGAAATGCGGGTCCGATCCCTCGGTCGGGAAGATCCCCTGGAGGAGGAAATGGCAACCCACTCCAGTATTCTTGCCTGGAGAATCCCACAGACAGAGGAGCCTGCCTGTAAGCTATAGTCCACAAGTTTGCAAAGAGTCTGACACTACTGAAGCAACTTAGCCTCACACAGGTCCCAGGAAATGTCCCCACCATGCTTTTCTTCAAGAAAACATTGTATTGGCTATACCTTGCCTTTGAAATTGGCCTATTTCTTCCATCAGACCACCCAAAAAAGAAAATTCTATTTTGATTGTTAATAAACACCTTTGACTTTTTCCCTCAAATTGCTCCATCTAATGCAACCTCCCACTGTCTCTCAAGAATCTTAAATATAATTTCCCCACACACAGCCTCTTGGTGACTTTGATCAGAGCTGGAATTAGAAACATGATACAATTGTGCTAGTCCAACTCTTAACACAGATTTCATTCTTCAAGTGTTCCTAACGAGGACTTAGATGTAGGAATTATTTCAGCATACTGATTTTTTTCCTCAAGAATCATTCACAGTCTAATAATGTATCTTCAAATTTTTTGAGTTTCTAAATTTCATCTTTAGTTTTTCAAAACCATCTGCTGGTGATTTTATTCTCCTCTTTACTGGACTCAGGGGTTGCAGTGGCCTCCATGTATTATCCCTCACTCAAAGATTTGCAAGCGGGATACACCTTAAGTGGGATAATGTTATCACTGCTGTTCTTTTCACAAGAATTTTATTATGTTAAAAGAAAAAATATCTTATACAGTTTCCCAAGTATTTTATGGTAGGGACAGATAGATGCTTGATGTTATCAAATATTTTGTCTTGATGTGTGATGTTTGAATTTAATTAATCACTTGATTCTGTACTATGGAGATAATCACATTTGGGATCCTCATAGAACAAGGATCAAACCATTGTCCCTGGCATTGGCATTCTGGACCACCAGGGAAGTCCTTGCACTCTATTTCTTAATATAAAGTTTTTTATCTATTAACATAACCAATGTGAAGCCCATTGTGCAACCCTAGACTACAACTTTTATCACGGATCCCTACTCCTGGATACATTGATTCATTTTGCTAACAAATATTATGATTTTTTATTTTGGCCTTGATATTCGCAGGTGATTGGTCTGGAATTTGATTCTCCCTGCCATTTCTGGGTCATTTTGGTATCAATGCTATGCTTTGTATATGAAGAAAGTTACAGAGTCTGTCTCCTTTTTCTCTCTCTAGGATCATCTCCACAAACACAGAATAACAAAATACAAGCAACTCCTCCAGCTCAACTCCAGAAAGATAAATGACCCAATCAAAAAATGGGCCAAAGAACTAAACAGACATTTCTCCAAGGAAGACATACAGATGGCAAAAAAACACATGAAAAGATGCTCAACATCACTCATTATCAGAGAAATGCAAATCAAAACCACAATGAGGTACCATTATACACCAGTCAGGATGGCTGCTATCCAAAAGTCTACAAGCAATAAATGCTGGAGAGGGTGTGGAGAAAAGGGAACCCTCTTACACTGTTGGTGGGAATGCAAACTAGTACAGCCGCTATGGAGAACAGTGTGGAGAATTCGTAAAAAGCTGGAAATAGAACTGCCATATGACCCAGCAATCCCACTTCTGGGCATACACACCAAGGAAACCAGATCTGAAAGAGACACGTGCACCCCAATGTTCATCGCAGCACTGTTTATAATAGCCAGGACATGGAAGCAACCTAGATGCCCATCAGCAGATGAATGGATGAGGAAGCTGTGGTACATATACACCATGGAATATTACTCAGCCATTAAAAAGAATTCATTTGAATCAGTTCTAATGAGATGGATGAAACTGGAGCCCATTATACAAAGTGAAGTAAGCCAGAAAGATAAAGACCATTACAGTATACTAACACATATATATGGAATTTAGAAAGATGGTAACGATAACCCTATATGCAAAACAGAAAAAGAGACTCAGATGTATAGAACAGACTTGTGGATTCTGGGAGAAGGCGAGGGTGGGATGTTTCAAGAGAACAGCATCGAAACATGTATATTATCTAGGGTGAAACAGATCACCAGCCCAGGTTGGGTGCATGAGACAAGTGCTCGGGCCTGGTGCACTGGGAAGACCCAGAGGGTGGAGAGGGAGGTGGGAGGGGGGACCGGGATGGGGAATACATGTAAATCCACGGCTAATTCACTTCAATGTATGACAAAAACCACTGCAATGATGTAAAGTAATTAGCCTCCAACTAATAAAAATAAATGGAAAAAAAAAACACAGAATAACAGTTTTCCAGGACGTTTTGTACAGTGTACCAGAGAACTGGTTGCACTGGTGGCTGGGCAATAAATAATCTGCCTGCAGTGCAGGAGATGCAAGTTTGATCCCTGGGCCAGGAAGATCCCCTAGAGAAGGAAATGGCAACCCACTCTAGTATTCTTACCTGGGAAATCCCATGGACAGAGGAGCAGGGTGAACTGCAGTCCACAGGGTCATGAAAGTGTTAGACATGACTTGCAAATAAACAACATCAAAAACACCCAGAGATCTACAGGGCTAAGAAGACTTTTCATTATTGGTCCTACTGATTGACACGTCTTACAACACTTTGACTTCTATCTTCTTGTGTTCATAGAGCTTACAATGATTTAGCCACATTTCACAAGTTTTTAAAAGTTATACTTTCAAATACTCTCTAGTGTGCTCCAAAAAACACATTCTATAAAGATGAACTGTGGGATCTGAGGCATCTATTCACACCCACAAATAATTCTATATTGGCAGCATCTCAAATTATGTGTCAGCACCTAGGAGTAAATGTGAAATGGCAGCCCATCCCTCTTTGGCGCGAGACGCTCTTCCGGGAAGTAGAATAAGCTGATTTCCAAGACTGCCCTATCTTTCAGTCACAAGACAGAGACACTCACTGACCATCAGGAAACTGCAAGGAAATGACCACTGCTTTGCCAGTCAGAGGTTGCTAGGACAGTAACTCCTTCTTAGTAAAGACTACTGACGTGGCAGAAGTGAACGTGTTCCCTTCTGTTCCTAATTCCCTCAGCGGAATGCAAAAAGGAGTACTGACGGGAAAATCCAACCTGTTTGAAGAGAGAGGCAAAAGCATGTTTTATCTAAGATCAGCCTAAATAGCACAGATGACTCTCTACCAATCAGCCCTTTTTCCTTCCCTTTGAAAATATGTGACAACAAACTGGGCCTATTTCCTGCTATCTCTAGGCAACTGGCACTTCTATATCCAGGAAAGGAAGAAAAGGCCTCCCAGAAACCTCAAATTTCATCATCCAAAGTTCACCCCTAAGAGAATTTCAAGTAGGATTGTGCAGCCAGTATTTCTCATGATCAGGATCCACCAAATTGAAACACCTCTTGACAACTGAGAACTGGCATGAGGGGCAACATGAGAGAATGTGTTGGGTGTTAAAGAGAGACTTACGAGGGGACGGAAGGCACGTATCTCCAGGTCTACCTCAGCCCCCAAGCCCAAAGAGACCCAGGGTCTCAACACTAGGAATAACCATTAAGTTCTGGGCAGGTGCTAAGACAGAGGTATTGAACCTCACTGCCAGGAAAAGATCTGGGCAGAAACGGCCCCTCTTCATTGCATGCACACCTTCCCCAATTACCCTCCCCCAGGGACTAAGATGGGACACGAAAGACAGGGAGGCTTGATGAGATGAAGGATCCAGGCAAGCGCACGCATGTTTGGTGAGGCACGTAGCCGGTCCTCTGATCGCCTGCACAGCCTAGTGCAGCGTCCTCCTCCAGGACTGACCTGTGATGTCCAGGTGGAAGGAGATCTTCTGGCCCCCGGCCTCGCAGCTGTACTCCCCGGCATCCGCCTTGCCCGCCTGCTGCACCACCAGCCGCCGCCCACGGCCCGTGGCCTCCACACGCACTTTCGAGCTCGAACTCAGCTTCCTGCCGTCCTTGTACCACGTCACCTCCGTCTGGGCCTGGGCCACCTCGCAGCTCAGCGTGGCGCTGGTTCCCGCCACGGCCTGCACGTCACTGCGCACTGCCTGCTCCTTGGCGAACACCACCGAGGGCTCTGGGGACACAGAGGGGGATGCACAGGGTCAGAGACCCCAGCTCAGTCAGGACGGCAGCCCCGGGCAGAGAAGACCTGGATGGGGAGGTGGGCTGTGGGGTGTTGGGAAGGGGCATTGGAGCTGTAGACTCTCAGGCTCTGCACCAGCCCTGTGCCCTGCAGAGGTCCCCCTGCCTTTCTCAGCAACAGGGACACAATTTATGCATTCTCTCATGGGTCCCTGGGAGTACACCTTGGGGTGGGCAGTCATTGGAACAGATTTTTCCCTTGCTCATGGCATCTGCAGGTCTTGAGGCAACTGTTCCCCAACATTCCCAGATGGTGCCCCAGTCTTCATACTACTATGCAGGAACCTTTCACCTGCAGTCCTGGAGATGGCTGAGGCTGGCGCCCTTGCCTACTCTCAGGATTCTCGGCTGGTGGCAATCTGGGGGAGTGCCTGCACCTCCCTGTGGCTTTCTGTGTCTTTGTCTGAGGAATGAAGAAGCAAGCACCTCCCCCTTAGGACTGGGTTCACCATTCTTGTTTTTTTCTCATTGGTGACACTATTCAAATTGCTTGCCCATGTACCAATAGGTTCTCTCTTCTCTCAATTCACATCTGGCCACTCTTTGTCAATTTAAATACCAGAGACTGACACATAGGTAGGATTTAAGGATATTCTCAACTGTGTAACTGGCATTTTCACTCTGATCCAGTTCTCCAATAGTTTTTCCTCCAATACTGTCACAATAGCCATTTCGTCCCTTTAAGCATAGAGCATGTGTATTCAAGAAATCTTTTTACCTTAAGTCTTGAAGAAACCACATTAGCATCTGTGGATTTGGGGGTTTTATCTTTAACACTGAGGTGTCTAACCCACCTCAAGTTGACTTATGAGTGTGGTGTGAACTGCTAGTACAAAGTTTTTCTGTATGGTGCAGTGGTCCACCCACCATTTTTGGAGGACAACATCCTTCCCCTAGTTCTCAATAGACAACACAGTAACAAATGGAAGATGTGGAGGGTCGGTAGGAATGGGTGATGCAAGATTCCACTTCTGCAAGGACTGTTTCTGAGTTCACTATTCTGTTCCTTGGTTGTGGTAGCCAACCCAGCACTGGGATCCCTTATCTTGATGACTGTAGCCTTGTAATAATTTTTTGACGTTGGGGAACAGTAAATGCTCCTACCATGCTCTTCTTCAAGAAAATGACATACTGGGCTGTATTTTGCCTTTGCAATCTGCCTGTTATTCTTCCATCAGACCGCTGGAAAAACAAATTTTCTTCCATTTTGATTGTTAATAAACATCTTTTTATTTTTTTCCCCCGTTGGATTTCTATCCATCTCTTGCAACCTTTAACTGTCTCTCAAGAATCCAGAATAATTTCCCCACACACAGCCTCTTGGCAAGATTGATCAGACCTGGAATTAGAAACATGATACAACTGAGCTAGTCAAATGCTTTCACACCAGTTTCGTTTTTTTTCCCCAAGCACACCTTGCCAGGACTTAGACACAGAAATGTTTTTTCCATGTTAATTTTTTACACATTAATCCTATGCAAGAATCATATGCATTCTAATAGTTTATCTTTAAGGATGGTCTGAGTTAATCATCCTATTATCAGCATATCCACTTTTAGTTTTTTGAAACCATGTCCAGTGTAACAGCAGTTTCCAGATATTTTGTATAGTGTACCAGAGAACTACAGGGCTGAGAAGATGCTCATCAGTGGTCTTACTGATTCACATGTCATATCTTTGATTTTCTTTTATCTTCCTGTATCTGATTTTCATAGAGATTACTAAGATTTAGCCACACTTCACTATTTTCAAATGGTTTTACCTTAGAATACTCACTAACATGCTCCAAAAACCACATTTAACAAAATTGCATGGTGGGATCTGGGGAATACACACACCCACAAACCAACCTATCCTGGCATGATCACAAAATGTCAGAGGTAAGCACCTAGTGATTAACGTGGGGTGGCAGAGGAGCAGGTGGACGTGGAGTACATCTCCCTCCACGGATGCATCAGGAGTACGCCTTCAGACCCAGAAGTGCATGCAGAACACCAGCTGAGAGCAGGCAGGAGTACCTGACCACCAGAAAAGGATATATAGACCCACGCAAAACTCAGTAGGAGGAAGGAACTAGGGAAAAACAGGAGTGTTAGTAGGACTGGACCTGCCCTCAGTAGGTAGGGAAACTGAAGCAGGGGTCCGATCCCCACACCGGGGCAACCATTTAAGGCTGAGAGTGAAACAGCTGATCTGTGGCAGCCTAAATGGAATGAGAATCAGACAGTCCTTGTTGCAGCCATATGTACCCTGGACAGGGACGCAGGTCCCCTATAAGGCGCAGCAGCTGTGAGCTGGAGAGTAGGGATTGTGAAGCAATCCCAGGGCGAGGGCTGCTGTTGACTGCGGAAAGACGGATTGAAGGGATGAGAGGGAGGAGATTATGGTGGGAAATCCCTGTGGAGGAAAGCCGGGCAGCCATGGAAACAAGGCGATACTGCTGAGGCACGCGTAGGGGGTGGAGCCATCACCATAGCCTCTCCCCCCACACGCCAGCATCAGCAGCTGAACAATAGAGAGGCTGGCCCATCAAACATCTGACGCACCAAATTACAGAGTGGGACCCCACCCAGGTGCCCCTTTATGTGCCTGATGCACCCATCTACAGAGGAGGACCCCGAATGGGCAGAGCAAGGGAGAAAGATGAGACAGAGGCCTTCTGACTGCCAGCCGCCAGAGGCTAGAAAAAGACTGATTGGGCCATAACTCCTGCAGCCAACAGACTCCACGTCCCTGCGCACTTGGTACTGCCTGCGTCCTCATGACCCAAGCAGCTCTGCCACCTTCATGCTCAACCCCACTGGGGCAGAACTGCCACAGGCAAAAAAAAAAAAAAAAACCAAAACAGACTCGCATCTATGCAAGGCACAGGGCGCTTCAGTCCTGTCAATTCTGTGACCCTGCAGACTGTGGCCTGGCAGGCTTCTCTGTCACAGGGGTCCTCCAGGCAAGAAAGCTGGAGTGGGTTGCCATATCCTTCTCAGTTCAGTTCAGTTGCTGAGTCGTGTTTAACTCTTTGCGACCTCATGGACAGCAGCACACCAGGCTTCCCTGTTTATCAGCAACTGCTGGAATTTGCTCAAACTCATGTCCATCAAGTCAGTGATGACATCCAATTATCTCCTCTGTCATCCCCTTCTTCCTGCCTTCAATCTTTCCCAGCATCAGGGCTTTTTCCAATGAGTCACTACTTTGCATCAGGTGGCCAAAGTACTGGAGCTTCAGCTTCAGAATCAGCCCTTCCAATGAATACTCAGGGTTGATTTCCTTTAGGACTCACTGGTTGGATCTCCTTACAGTCCAAGGGACTCTCAAGAGTCTTCTCCAACACCACAGCTCAAAAGCATCAATTCTTCAGCTTTCAGCTTTCTTTATGGTCCAACACTCACATCCATACATGACTACTGGAAAAACTATAGTCTTGACTAGATGGACCTTTGTCAGCAAATTAATGTCTCTGCTTTTTAATATGCTGTCTAGGTTTGTCACAGCTTTTCTTCCAAGGAGCAAGTGTCTTAACTTCATGACTGCAGTCACCATCTGCAGTAATTTTGGAGCCTAAGAAAATAAAGTTTGGCACTGTTTCCATTGTTTCCCCGTCTATTTGCCATGAAGTGGTGGGACCAGATGCCATGATCTTAATTTTTTGAATGCCAAGTTTCAAGCCAGCTTTTTCACTCTCCTCTGTCACTTTCGTCAAGAGGCTCTTCAGCTCCTCTTTGCTTTCTGCCATAAAGGTGGTATCATCTGCATAGCTGAGGTTATCGATATTTCTCCCAGAAATTTTGATTCCAGCTTGTGCTTCATCCAGCCTGGCATTTCTCATGATGTACTCTGCATATAAGTTAAATAAGCAGGGTGACAATATACAGCCTTAATGTACACCTTTGCCAATTTGGAACCAGTCCATTGTTTCATGTCTGTTCTAACTGCTGCTTCCTGACCTGTATATAGATTTCTCAGGAGGCAGGTCAGCTAGTCTGGTATTCCCATCTCTTTAAGAATGCTCCACAGTTTGTTGTGACCCACACAGTCAAAGGCTTTGGTGTAGTCAACAAAGCAGAAGTAGATTTTTTTTTTTTTAGAAGTAGATGTTTTTCTGGGATTTTCTTGCTTTTACGATGATCCAACAGATGTTGGCAATTTGATCTCTGGTTCCTCTGCCTTTTCTAAATCCAGCTTAAACATCTGGAAGATCACCATTCACGTACTGTTGAAAACTTCCTCAGAAGAATTTTGAGCATTACTTTGCTAGCATGTGGGATGAGTGCAATTGTGTTGTAGTTTGAACATTCTTTACCATTACCTCTCTTGGGATTGGAATGAAAACTGACCTTTTCCAGTCCTGTGGCCACTGCTGAGTTTTCCAAATTTGCTGGCATATTGAGTGCAGCACTTTCATAGCATCATCTTTCAGGATTTGAAATAGCTTGGCTAGAATTCCATAACCTCCACTAGCTTTGTTCGTAGTGATGCTTCCTAAGGGCCACTTGATTTCGCACTCCAGGGATGTCTGGCTCTAGGTGAGTGATCAAACCATTGTGATTATCTGGGTCATTAGGATCTTTTTTTGTATAGCTCTTCTGTATGTTCCTGCCACCTTTTCTTAATATCGTCTGCTTCTTTTAGGTCCATACCACTTCTGTCCTTTATTGCGCCCTTCTTTGCATGAAATGTTCCCTTGGTATCTCTAATTTTCTTGAAGAGATCTCTAGTTTTTCCTATTCTATTGTTTTCCTCTATTTGTTTGAACTGATCACTGAGGAAGGCTTTTTTGTCTCTCCTTGCTTTTCTTTGGAACTTTTCTTCAGATGGGTATATCTTTCCATTTCTCCTTTGCCTTTAGCTTTTCTTCTCTTTTTTAAAATTTTTTTTAAAAATTTATTTATTTTAATTGGAGGCTAATTACTTTACAATATTGTAGTGGTTTTT